CTTCCCACATCCCCTTCAAGGGACCCCAGTGCCCTAACTTCCTGCCACAGGGCCCCCCAGAGGACTGCTCCTCCTAATGACACTGGGAGCTGGGGACCACTCAGCATGGAGGATAATCATCCAGACCACAGCACAGTGAAAGGCGGAGCCATGAAGCCCAAAGGCGTTCATGGGAAACCTGTTGGCTTAAGGAATCTCACTATTCAGATAAACATGTGGCACTGCTCAGCTTTCCTGTCGCTGGACAAGATACCTGCCCCCCAGAAATCAAAGGGGGAGAGGTTTAAATGGCTCACGGTTTCAGAGGGTTCAGTCCATGCGTGGTAGGTGTCTCCAAGGCAGAAATGACATGGTGGGGAGGGCACGGTGGAGGAAACCCACTCAGCCCATGGCACCAGGAGGTAGAGAAGGGAGGATCTGGGGACAAGAACTCCCCTCCAGGTCACCCCCGGGGACCCACCCTGCAGCAGGCCCCTGCCAGCAGCACAGTGAACTGTGAACTCATGCATGGATGAGTGCAGCCCCCATGGTCGGCACCTGCCAAACCCCACCTCTGAACATATAAGCCTTGGGCTGGGGATGTAGCTCAGTGGTTCCAGCGCCTGCCTTGCAAGTACAAGGTTCTGAGTTCAATCCCCGGTACCAAAAAAAAAAAAAGAAAAGAACATATAAGCCTTTTGGGGCACGCTTTAGATCTAACTGTAACACATGAAAAGGCTTTGTCGGTTCCAATACTTTCTTCTGGGCTCTGTGAAACCCCCTTTTCTCACATGGTAACAACGTCTTAGTAAAATCTTGCCAGGCATGGTAGTACACGCCTGTAATCCCAGCCCTTAGGAGGCTGAGGCAGGAGGATTGCCATTAGTTTGAGGGCAGCCTGGGCTACATAATGAGTTCAAGGCCAGCCTGCACTGCATATTGCAGAGTGAGACCCTGTCTCAAAAAAAAAAAAAAGAATTAGAGAAAATCTGAAGCTGGGCATGGTGTCACATGACTAATCCAAACACTCTGGGAGGTTGGGGCAGGAGGACTGAACGTTTAAATGCAGCTTGGGCAACTTAGCTACTTAGTGAGACCTGTTTCAAAATAAAAATGAAAAGGGCTAGGGCTGTAGCTCAGTGTCAAGGCCCTGGGTTCAGTCCCAAGTAGCAAGAAGGAAAAATATTGATATCTATACCTAATCTATCTGTCTCGGTCCAGGGCTGGGGTGTAGTTTGGTGGTACAGCACTTGGCTGGCATACATGAGGTCCACAAAAATAAAAATAAAATTTAGAAATACAATGCTCAGTAACTAAAGGGAAACAATTCACAGTAAGATTAATAGGCCTGCTCCCCCTCCCCAGGGGCCTAAATCCCTGAGCTCTGGGAGCAATCAGCCTGTTCCTACACCCTGCAGCCCTTGGGGGACAGAGCCTGCTCCGCGAGAGGCACCTCACCCACCTACCAGGTCACAGCATCCTCAGCCCCTTGCTCCCTCATCTTACGCAGCCCCCAACCTTGCCCAAGTGGACCCCACTCTCCTGGAGCTGCTTCAGGAGCCCCTGAATCCCAAACTCAGGCCGGCTGTGCTCTTCACGGGGGGTGGGGTGGTGGTGGCACAGTTTGCCTAACAAAAATGTAACCTCAACATGGAAATACCTTGCTGGGCTTGAGCTGGGCTGGATTCCAGCTCCTTCTGCCCCTCCCAGTCAGGCGCGGCCTCCACCCTCCCTCCCAGTGCTACAGCCCGGGTCAGGCTGACTTCACCTGGCCCTCCGCCACACTGCTGGACTGGGGCTCAGGCTCCCTCCTCCAGCCCCCAAATCCCTTGCTCTGGGGTGATGCTCAGCCCTCATGCCTCTTGGGGCAGTCGTGGGGGCACTGGTACAGGGTCTAGGTGCCCTCTCCTGGGGCAGTGGGGACGGAAGCTGGCCCTGGACTGTCCACTAAGCCCTCTGCCGCCTCTCACCTTTTGCTTTTCTGGGTATTGAACCCAGGATGCTTACACTGAACTACACCACCAGCGATTTTTTAATTCTTTATTCTGAGAAGGGTCTTGTAGATTCAGGCTGGCCTTGAACTCACTGTGTATGCCAGGCTGGCCTCAAACTTGTGATGATCCTCCTGCCTCAGTCTCCTGAGGGGTAGGTTTACAGCTAAAATAAACTTCTTAGTGGGTGTGGTGCACACCTGTAATTCCAGCCCTCAGGAGGATGAGGCAGGAGGACTACTGGGAATTCGAGGCCAGCCTGAACTAGTGAGACTGGGTCTCAATCCCAGCACTTGGGACTCAAAGGCAGGAGAGTTGAGTTTGAGCCCAGACTGAACTCCGCAGGGAAACTGTCACCCAAACAAACAGAAACCAGAACATTAAAATCTGCTGAAAGTGCTAAGTTTACCTCAGATCAGCCCCTGATGTAACGGGAGCAGGTTCGTTGTCTCTGTGCTTTATTTCTCTATAAAATGAAGATACCCAAAGTGACCAACCTCAAGTATCTTGAGAATCAAATTAAGGCCTGAACAACACTTAGAACAATGCTTACATCCCCTAAATGTAGCTGTTACTGTGAAAGGAGAAAATAACTGAATGTCTAGGTTAAAGGACAGGTAGAGTGCATTGTTCACTCATCCACATTCTTGGATATTAAATGTCATTAATATATGAATTTAGTAAAATTGTGATAAAAATAAGTTGGCTGTCTTTTTCACTAGTCAGTGGTCCCCAAGTCCATGCAGGGAAGCTAGTAATGACGGCTTGGGATGCAGGAAGGACTGCCCACTAGCACCCACTTGGGTGGACAGCACAGCCGGAGGGGCAAATATGGGGGAGCGTGTGGTGGCCCTCGCGTGCGTGAGTGTGTCCGTGTGCATGGGCACGTGGCAGTGGGGCCTGAACCCTGGCTCTTTTTACTCTTTTATTTGCAGACAGGGTCTCCATAAGTTGCTTCATTACCCAGGCTGGGCTCAAACTTTCCATCATCCTGCCTCAGCCTCTTAGTTCCCTTGCTGAAGGGCCATCTGGTGTGACTCAGTCCTCTAGGCCTGCACTGTTAATGCCTGAGCCACCTCATCCCGGGGCCTTGGGCCTTCCTTTCTCCACCCAGGTCTCCAGCTGCCTTCCTCCTGTTTTGTCACTTGTAACCCATGACAGCTGCTGGCTGGGAGGACAAGTGTCCTATCTCTTGCATCTGCAAAGAATGTCAGGCATGCCTACATGTGCCATGGGCAGAAGGGACAAGGCAGACACCCCTGAGGACACCCGTATACCATGGCTGTGATGTCCTGCGCCTCCCAGCTCACTGCCAGCTTCCTGATGCCCAGCAGCCCCTCATCCGGAAGGTCGGACCCCAACCCCAGTGAACACCTGGGGCAGTGCTCGTAGGGAACCCACATGTAGGCTTATAAATCAGACACAGGTGGGCACATAGCTCAAAAAAAGCTGGGCATGGTGGAGCACACCCATAATCCCAGAACTCTTGGAGGATCACAAGACCAAGGTCAACTTATTGATACCCTATCTCAAAACAACAAAAGGCAAAGGATGTAACTCAGTGCAAAGGCACTGAGTTCAATCCCCAATGCCACACACAAAAAGCAAAGAAACTAGACATGGTAAACAGATGAACAATACCCAGTAACAAAACAGAATTGTAACAATTTGCTGATAGTTTGGAATTTATGGTGAACTAAGGCTGCTTATGGTGTGGAGCCAAGAGGCCAGCCTGGACTATCTAGCAAGACCACTTCAAAATAAAACTTAAGTTTACATCTGCAATTTCCCACTTCATCCCTTCTCCCAAAAGGCTGATAAAGCAATACTCCCTGCTGTCATCAACTGTGCCTAGTTACACTCCCATAAGAACAGGAAAGGACTGAGCATCTATCTCTCCCTAGCACTGTGTCTGATGGTGCTCTACCACTGAGCCCCAGCCCCAGCCCTTTTATGTTCAGTTGCAGTGCTGGGGACCCAGACCAGGCCCTTGTCCCTGCTGCACAAGGGCCCTGCCACTGTGCCATAACCCCAGCCCTGTTTTTGAGACAAGATCCCCCTAAACTGCCCAGGCTGGCCTCAAATTTAGTATCCTCCATCCTCAGCCTCCTACTACTCCACTGAGAACAAGTGCTGAGGGCTTCCAGACAGCTGAATATGGTAACATGGACCTGTATTCTAGCTCCAGGACTCAGGAGGCTGAGGCAGGAGGATCACTGCAAGTTTAAGGCCAGCCTGGGTTACATAATGACTCAAAAAACCCAAACAAAGGCTGGGGATTTAGCTCAGTGGTTCTGCCCCCTGCCTCACAAGCACAAGATCCCGAGTTCCATCCCCAGTACCAAAAAAAAAAAAACAACAAAAAAACCCCCAAAACACCATAGAGTTAAGCGCGCGGGGTTTCTGGAGGGTGCTGGCTGAGGCACAGGAGTCCTGTGTCCCTTTCTCCCATGTCTCGCCTGTGCACCTCCTACTGGATCGTTCCTCTGTGGCCTTCGCAGTATCTCTAGCAGTTTCCTGAGTCTGTGGGTTGAGCGGCTCTTTGACTGCCCCTGTGAGAGGCAGGCAGAACCCCACCACAGCTGCTTGCTCAAAAGCATCAGCCCAGCGTCTGGCGTGCTTTGTGGATGAGCCCTCCACTCGGGGGACCTGCAGCTGCGCCGGGGACAGCTCCAGACTTAGCTGGACCAGTGCTGCCCAGCAGTCACCTGCTGTCGGCCCCACAGGAGGCCAGCTCAACATGCGCACCGACTCCTCCACTCCACCGGGGGGGCCGCTGCAAAATACACTGAATCCTCAAGAACTCTTTCAATTTCCTATACTGATAAAAAAAAAAAAAAAAAAGAATTTTTAGAAATGCTAATAGGTTCATTTCAGCCAGGTGTGGTGGTGCACACCTGTAATCCCAGCACTTGTGAGGCTGAAGGGGAAAGATCAACATGGAGTTCAAGGCCAGCCTGGGCTACATAGTGAGACCCTGACTCAAAAACAAACAAAAGTCAATTTTAATAAGTTCCTCTGAAAATAAAATGTTACATCACAATTTCCTTTTATTGCAACTCAGATTTGTAAGAACTAGAAAAATCTGCCTACCCTTGGCATTCATCATAGATTTCAGGCTTTAAAATACTGAGACTTGAGACCTACTGGAGCCTTGCTGGGTCAAATAAAGTCAAAGCACATTGTCATCATTCATCCCACAGATGTCTAAGACTTGCACCTACACTGACTCTGTGTTGTAATCACTCCCTATTCTAGTGTTCTCCAAAGGGTCCCATGCGTGAGAGACGCAGAAGCTGCAGACGCACTTGAAGGGCATGCTTCTTGGTTCATCCTGAAAGAAATAATGATGGATTAACTGAGATAGTGCACCTCAAAGAAATGAACAAACCCTCCAATCTACTGTTTTATTAAGAAACCCTTTGGAATAAAGAATCAAAAAACCAAGCTGGGCATGGTGGCGCACACACACCTTGTAATCCCAGCACTCAGGAAGCTGAGGCAGAAGAGATGTGGGCTTGAGGGCAGCATGAACTACATAGCAAGACCCTGTATCTCAGAAAAGTAAAATAAAAAATAGGCCCAGTGGGGGCACATGCTTGTACTTTCAGCACTGGGGAGGCTGAGGCAGGAGGATCACTGCAAGTTTGAGACCAGCTTGGACTAGATAGTGAGACCTTGTCTCAAAAACCCAAAATAAATAAATGGACAGACAGCTTGTCAAAAACTACATCCTGGTGAAGCATTTGGCTAGCATATTTGAGGTCCTGGGTTCTCCCCAGCACTGGGGAAAAATCTTAAGAGGGAAAAAGGATTGAAATACACAGGGACATGCTGGGCGTGGCGGCGCCCCCCTGGGCCTCCAGCACCATGGGGGCTGGCTGAGGTGAGGAAATCGCTAGTTCCAGCCCAGGTGAGTGATTCACCAACTCGGTGGGACCGGTCTCAAAGAAACACAGGGCTGGGGGCGGAGCTCACAGCTAAGGCCACGGTTCCATCTGGGAACAACCGCGGACGGATTTCTCCTGCTGGGGATCAAGTCGTTCTCGCCCGCTCCCCTCCCTCCTCCAAACCCACTGGACCCAGCCAGACTTCCTCGGTTATCATGGCAACGCAGAGACCCTGTAGCACCTCCGTACTTGCCTTCGCTCCCTTCAGACGCTCGTTTCGGAAAGCCTTCATAAAGAGAAAAAAGCTCTTATTGGAAACTAGCAAGGAGAGGGGCACTGGCAGACTCGGGGCGGGGGTGCCCTTGGATCCCACCCTCATCCGGAGTCCCCCGCTCACCTGCACGAACCGCCGGGCGTTCGTGAGCATGCGTGCCATGCGCTCCCTGCGCACGGACAGCACGGTTCGCACTCCGCGTCTGCGGACGCGGGGGGCCGCCAGCCCCAGGCTTGGGCTGCGCCGTTGGTCACTGTCCCTGCTGCCCCGAGGAGACCCCGTGGGTGGAGGGGAAGGGCGCTGCTCGGCAGCGTTGAGAGTCAAGTTTCGGAAGTCCCTGAGCAGCGTTTGGGAGCTCTCTGCAGAAGCAGGAGACGCGCGGGTGACCCGGTGTGGCCACGACTCACCCCGCCCGGCCTGGAGGGACCACAGCGCAGTGCCCCGGCCTGGTTTCTAGGGTCCACTAGCAAGGCCCACTGAGAGCCTCGCCGGAGTGTGCGCCAGGCCCAGACCCAGCCCTGCGCCCCCTAGCCCGGGCTGGGAGTGTAAGTGGCTGTCAGTCTTTCCTCCACAGTTTTATTATTATTATATTATTATTATATTATTATTATTATTGGTATCGGGGATCGAACTCGGGACCTTGCGCTTTCGGGACCTTGCGCTTTCGAAGCAGGAACCTGAACCACTGAGCTAAATCCCCGGCCCCCCTCCACAGTATTAGATAGCATTCATTCATTGTTGTTTTAATACAGGGTCTCACTGTGTAGTTCAGGCTGGCTTTGAACTCGCCGAGATCCTCCTGCCTCAGCTTCCCAGTGCTGGGATTACAGCCCTGAGGCACAGAGTCCAGTTTCAGCTATCTTAAACCCAGAATTTTGAAGCTGGGTGTGGTGACACACCCCTGTAATCCTGGGCAATTTAGCCAGACTCTCTCAAAATAAAAAAGGCCCAATGATGTAGGTTAGTGCAAAGGTCCTGAGTTCAGTTCCCAGTAAGGAGAGAAAAGAACAAAACAGTATTTGGGGAAATCATGCCCTCCTCCTTTCCTGAGGTGTGCAGGACAGCAAGACTCCCCTGGGCCTGTCAGGGGTGAGGCAGATTCTCTGCAAGGCAGAGCCTGAAGACAGATTATGCTTTTCATTCATTTACTTTCCCCCAAGTCAACACAAACTCTTTCCTCAAGACTCAGAGCTAGGATGGTAGTACTTGCCTGTAACCCTGGCACTTCGGAGGCTGGGGCAAGAGGGTCACAGCGAGTTCAAGGCCGGTCTGCAGCCAGGACCAGGCTTAGGCAGAGGTGGGTCAGACTCACTTCTACCCCTCAGCGGGTCGTTTGGGGCATTGACCCCGGGACATCTACTACCCCCCACACCACCAGCCTACCTGTTGGGTACCAGGATTACTAAGGCAAGAATGAGTTCCCCAGAAGAGCCCAGGGATTGGGGACCTATTACAGCAGTTTTAAGAAATCAGCCCAAGAGCCAGGTGTGCTGGCGCATGCCTGTAACCCTAGCGCTCTGGGAGGCTGAGGGAGGAGGATCAAAAGTTTCAGCCCAGTTTGGGCAATTTGGCGATTTAAGGAGACATCACGTCTATAAACAAAACCCAAACAAAACAAAACCAAAAAGCCAGCACCCCCGGCCAAGTACTAACTACTAATTTACATTACACAGCGCTGTCCACAGCTTCTCACAAACCTGCCACTTTCTACTGCCCCAAAAAACTCTTTTGCCTTTCTTAAGGCTCCCAAAGGGAGAAGCCACTTGCAATGAAGTTACTGGCAGAAAAGCTCGGTAGCGTGCGGTTTAGGTTTCTCGGGTCTTCGCCCTTCCTGTGAGCTCCCCAGGGTCGGTCCCTCCCCAACCCCTCAGACCCGTGGGTGTGGGGACCCGTGGGTGTGGGGACCCGTGGGTGTGGGGACCCGTGGGTGTGGGGACCCGTGGGTGTGGGGACCCGGGGTCCCGGCCGGGCCCTCCCCACGCTCACCTTCGTCCCGCTGTACGGCCGCCGCCTCCTCGGCCATGGGCACGGGCTCCATGGGCTGTGGGGAGGGCTCCATGGGCTGCAGGGAGGACCCGTCCCGGCCTCGATCCAGCATGACCGGGAGAAGCTTCAGCGTCCCAGGCCGACTCTGAGCCCAGGGGCCGAAGACTGCGGGAGAAACCGGTCGTCCCCAAACCCCTAGGGGCTCCTTTTAAACCCCAGGTAAGCCCGCCTTCCAGGCTATTTTGATGTTAATAAAGCATGACTGGAGGGTGCACCTGTGTTACTCGCAGAGGGGCTGATAGGATAACTCGTCTGCTCTGGGTTAGGATAATCTTATCAAGCCGGGGCGGGGCGGCACACGCCTGTAATCTCAGCACTTGGGAGGCTGAGGCAGGAGGATCAAAGATTAGAACCCAGCCTGGGCTCTGCCTCAGTGAATAATAATGATAAAATAATAATAATAATAGTAATAATAATAATAACAACAACAACAATAATAATATAATGGGCTGGGGATGTAGCTCAGTGTGAAGAACCTGGGTTCATTCCCCAGTATCACCAAAAAAGGGTAAATACATAATCATATTCAAACTGGATGCGTGTAACCCCAGCACCCTGGGAGGCTGAGGCAGGAGGATCACAAATTCCAGGTCAACATGGGCTATTTAGCGACCTAGTGAGACCCTGTCTCAAAAACATATATATCACTTTGCAGTTCAGGCTGGCCTCCAAATTTGCGGCGATCCTCTCCCGAGGGCTGGGATTACAGGTGTGCACCGCCATGCCTGGCTTTCATTTTTTATTTTGACACAGACTCTAAGTCCATAAATTGCTTAGGTTGAGTTTGAACTTGTGATTCCCCCGGCTTCAGCGCCGGGATTAGTGCCAGGATTACAGGCATTCGCCACCTGGCCAGGTTTAGGCGTGCATTTAAAAAATGCATATAATTTTGAGTTGTCTTTAATCACAGCCACCACTTCTGAGCACGCAAACCCTAAATTGCTACGGCCTGCACACAGAGGATGCCTGGCAGCAGCGCCCGCCCACACCCGTGCCCGTGGCAGGGGCCGGGTCGAGCTCTCGCTCCCCTGTGCCCCTGGTGAAAGCTGAGAGCGAGCTCCAAGGTTCTGCGCAATAAGCAGAAATTGGGCTCCGGATAAGGAGATACCGTGGGGGCTGCGGCTGGGCTCAGTGGTGAGCCTGAGGCCCGGCCCGCCCCAGCGCCGGGGAAAGAAAGCAGTGCGGGGTCCCCACTGCTGGCCTGCCCGCCGGGTCACCTCCCTGGCCGCGCTGGTTCTTGGGGACCCTCTGGAGCCGGCGGGGTTTCCTGGGAGGCAGCGATCGCCGCCCCCGCCGCGTGTTTTAGCTTTGAAAAGAAGAATCATCTCCTCTTAGTGTCAATGATTGGAATTATAACTGACAGCTGCGGCGGGACTGACGGGCGAGGGAAGTGGGGAGGCGGCAGCTGGGAAAATCCGCACTCAGGACCCTGAGTTGTGCCCAGCGTCACGTGGCGCCCGCCCGTGACCCGGGCGCTGGGAGGGAAGCGGAGGCGTTTCGAGTTCGAGTCCAGCCTGGGGAGTTTGTCAAGACTGCGTAGAAAAAGGGCGGGGCGGGCGTGGACTGCGCAGGCCCCGTCCCAGCCTCTCTACCTCCAAGGAGAAGAAAAAGCCTGAAAAAATGCCGGGCTCTTTCCCAGACACAAATGTAGAAAATTTAAGGAGCGGTTGCTGCCAGGCACGGTGGGACAGGCCTGGAGTCCTACTATGTGCTTAGAGAGGCCGAAGCAGGAGGCTCCCCGTGCAAGTTGCAGTTCTACCCAGGCAATTTAATGAGACCTCACCTCAAAACACAAATTTTTAAGGGCCGAGGATTTACCTCAGTGGTTTTGCTGCCTGCTGCGCAAGCGCAAGGACCCGAGTTCAATCTCTGGTACAAAAAAGCACAAAAAACCACAAATTTTTAAAAAGGACTCGGGATGTAGCTCAGTATGGGGGCCCTGGTCCCAATGCCCTACCACCCCGCATTTAAAAATAAAAGCCAAGTGTGGTGGCACACGCCTGTAAGCTCTGGAAGGCCGAGGCAGGAGAAAGTTTGAGCCCAGTGGGGTAATGCAGCGCCTTAGCGGAGACGCTGTCTCAAAAAGTAAAAACAAAAAAGAGGTGGGCCAGGGATTGAGCTCAGTGGTTCTGGCGCCTGCTGCACAAGCACAAGGTCCCGAGTTCGATTCCCAGTACCAAAACCAAAAAGAAAAACCAAACCAAACCAAACAAAACAAAAGAGGTAGGACAAACCTCAGTATGAACACACTAGTTTCAATTTCCAGTATCGGGGAGAAAAAATTAAAGTCTAGGGTTGGGTGTGGCCCAGGGGTAGAGTGCTTGCAGTCCCTGGGTTGGATCCCTTGTACTGGGAAAAAATCTATAAAAATAAAAATATAAGAAACAGACCAAAGCTGGGCGTGGTAGTGTATGGTTGGAATCTTAGCTACAGGGGAGTCTGAGGCAAGAGAACTACAAATTTGAGCCCAGTAAGGGGATTTAGGGAGACTCTGCTCAAAATAAGGGCTAGGAGGGCTGGAGATGAACTGACCACCGTGGTACAGGGGTGTGATCCCAGCGCTCTGGAGGCTGAGGCAGGAGGATTAGATCACCAGGAGTTCGAGGCCAGCCCTGCGGGGACCTGAGCTCCATTCCCTGCACCAAAAAGAAAACTCACCAAACAAGAACAGCAACAAAAAAAAAAAAAAAAAGAAAGAAAAGAACTGAAAAATAACAGCTGTCTATTGAGGACCGATTAGGATTCATCCAGGTGAGGGTGTTCAGTCAACAGAACTGAAAGATTCCTACGTGGTTCAGCTCCCAGGCCTGGGTTCAATCCCTGGGGTGGGGGGTGGGGGGGGATGGGGACAGTCCACCTAAGAATCTTCCTAAAGCAAAGAACCCGGCTGGGTGTGGCAGCCACACCCATAATGCCAGCACTCAGGAGGCTGAGGCAGGAGGAGCAACACAAATTTGAAAGCCAGGCCTGGACAACATACCAAGACGAGAGAGAGAGAGAGAGAGAGAGAGAGAGAGAGAGAGAGAGAGA